CCCTCGTTAGGGCTTGATGGCATTACAGTGTCAGTCCTGCATACAGCGGATGATGTGTCAACTGTCAGTACAATATACTGGCGTCAGGTGGCGCGCAGGACTGCCGCTCGGTCGTCTATGCAGCACACGAAAGGATCACCATCCCTCCTCGAATAGCCTCGGATTATCCATCCTTATAAGTCCACCGTTCCGTGCTTCTATCCTCAGGATACTGAAATCCTTCTCCTCCACGCCGCAACCACCTTCCGGGCTGGACAGGCAACTTTATCTCATGCGGGCTGCTCCCTTGGAGCGGCACCGCTGCTCCCGAGGGAGCGCACCCCGTAGCCGGGTGCAGTGAGTGCCTTGGGGCTGGGTGGCCCGTCCTCTGGACGGGCTCAGCCCCGGCGACTCACTAGGGTGCCTGCCCAGACCAATGTCTCCCCCTATATCCTATCATCCTCCCGGCTCTGAAATGGTCTCATTGGACCGAAAGGGCCTAACCCAACAAAACAAACAAACTTATAAGTGCATCATCTGAACGGTAACTATGCGATAAGCGTTAACGGTTGTTAAAGGTTCCGATGATTGGGTGGTAATTGCACCTTGAGAATGAGCAATAGTTATTGGTTTAGAGTGAACTTGTGATTTTCCTATAACCGTTCTAAACATCAGTTTGTGACCTCGCCACACTGGTCATGTGGGATGCAGGATGATGTCGCCGATATGACATCAGGTCCACACCCGTCCTCGCCATCTTCAGGACAAACCCATCTGCGTGCCCCTCGTGTTCCCTTTCCGGGCTGGCAGTCACCTCCACTAGACAACCAGTGGATGAGGTCGGGTCCGTACCAGAACCCGTAATTTCTGTCCGGGTTGACCGTTTTAGCGGCGAGCGCACTGTTTCAACGGGGCAATCCGGTCCAAACGGGAAGGTCTCGCCTCCGCGGATCACTGTCAGTGTCCCGCACAGCCCAACGCCTCCACCCTATCCTAACATCTCATAGCTCTGCAACGGTATTTTCAGGCCGAATGAAAGGGAAAGAAAAGCTCCCAGCAAACAAAAAACATAAATCAGCTCAATCTGTAACTATTCGGTAACATTTAACTCTCACGGATAATGGTTTATGTCTTTTTACATATTTCTGAGTTATCCTTCTCAAAAAGAAGCATAGATACTACCGAAAATGAAGTTCACAATCATGCGTTTCTTGTCGCAAGGTGTGCCATCTTATTTTGTATTCATAACCTGCAGGTAGTTGATTTTTCGCCCTAATAATTATACTTACAAGTTGTTACGATCCATTTCATATTCTCGTCTTGACGGGAAACCACAAATTAAGCATTTATATGCTTCCGATTATAGGTAAAATAGCAACAGTCCTGTCAAAAGCGAATTATTTGGAAAGCGTGCTTTTGAAAAGAGTATTTCGCATGAGAATATTCGAATGATTGCTTTTAAGGTAGAACATAACTGAACTCCACGTTTCTTCACTTACCAATGAAACCTCAGCGCTGACATGCCGTTTTTCACCTGACACAAGCCGTGTCCTCGCTGTTATGGCCTAGCAACGACTCTGGGACAAGGAGCTGGCTCACTTACACAGTGTTTTATCAGGCCTGGGGCATCAACCGGCACTGGCCATATGCATTGCACATGGTATACTGAGCATGTAGGTGGGGGAGTGACCGCTTTTGGAGCTATCCGGGTATTGAGTGACACATGTCGGAACTTCCTGATCGGGTGTCAGGGTGCCGGGGCATTGTTACCACGGAGAGAATTGACCCTAGCAACAGGTGTGCACGATAATGACGAAGCTTATGGCACTCGCATGCATAACATTCCCGTTTGAAATTTGCTTCAGAAAATGAATTATGTTTCGCTAGAGATTGTTCGGAACACCTGCGTTGCTTATATTTATGTGATGGTAGCTTTCGGAATGCAGCCCTCTCTCTTCGCCACTTGAAACGCTAAAAGTGCCATAAAAACAGCATGGAAATGGCAATGTGAATGACACTGACAATTGCATTGCCCTTTGCTATGTCGGTCTTTTTTCAGTGTTTTACATTGGCTGACGAAGGGAGACGGTTGTCTTCCGAATCTACCTTAAAAAAAATGTTTGGTGATCTTAAAAATATCTCCGCTGAATTACATCAACAGTTAATATGAATTATGGTAGTATGCCGGTGCATCAGGTAATTTCCACTTTAAATGATACCTACATTGCATAATAGCTGTATGTGCCATCGCGCCAATTCATACAGCGAGCCTTCTAACAATTTTATTATGCTTGAATTTCGAACAAAGGTTCACACTTACACAGATAAAACACTCAGCTTACATGCTTGCTTTCTGAAAGGGCGCATTATTTAGTCTGAAATTATTGAAGTGTCTGTCCCATTTATCACGCACACTGTTACACAACTGATCGACAGACCGCCTTTATCTGCACGTATATACCATGAGTGCTGTGTGTGTGTCGAGAGGACGGGGAATCGATAGCTACAGGGGAAACTGTAGTTCTGATTATTGATAGTTAAGTGCTTCAGTGTGCTCAAAGTGTCTGTCAATACGTATATATCGACACACTTGTCCGGATCAGCTGTAATTTTCCTCTCCGTCTATACAGTACAGTTCTATCTAATCGCGGACTGATGGCTCATAAATGAATTTTGGCGTATTTGTATACGATATTCTATAGCAAAGAAAAGGAAATATAGGACAGAACAGGATTGCTAGGGATATGACAGAATTGAGTTGGATTGGATTGGATTGGATTGGAATGAATGGGACGGGGTGGAATTGGATAGGATTGGATTAAATAGGATTAGATAGAATTAACTATGATTAATAGGATGGTATAGGATTTGATATTATTGGACAGGATTGGATTGGATGGGATTGGTCAGCGCTGGTTTTGACAAGATTGGATTATATATAACCAGGTTGGACTAGATCGGATTAGATAGGATTAGATAGGACTAGGTAGGATTAGACAGGGTTAGATATGATTAGATATGATGGGATAGGAATATAGGATTGGACAGGATTAGATTGTATTGCTGAATGCTCATGATGAAATCCCTTCTGTAAAACATATATTATTTCAATCACAGTTCTAAAAAACCGTCCTCATTCGCCCATAATCGCCCATGGCCACCCATAACCGCGTATGACCACCAACGACCACCTACAACCGCTCATGGCCGCCCGTAGTCGCTCACAGCCGCATTAAGCCGACGCCACTGTCCACCTGCCTATCTACCATCGGCGACCGCCTGTAGGCCGCAGTCGCCCGCTTAAATATTCAAAAAACCGACTGCGGTGGCCGTGGATTCATGTGTTATCCGTAAAGGAGGTTCTCATGACTAGATTACTTCACTGGAAGCTATTTACCACCGCATTTGGCATCCTCGGGATCCCAGTGTATCAGTCCAAATTGGGAGATGCAGCAATGGACAAGGTAAGTGATCGTCCACGCACGATACTATGAGCTGACTTTCGGTGCATGCCGCTGTAAAGGAAAACCCCGGGATGAGTTCACAATGCGATATTTTTAGATAACTAACCGTTGAGATGAACAGGTGCGTTGCAAGTGCAATTATGTGCGCTTCAACTTGAGTTTGCCTGGGTGACACAGTCTATACTTGTTTGTGCAAGTAACGATGACATACAAAGCGACCCCCGCCTAGTACCTACTGATCAAACAACTTGAGAACAAATGACACAATCATATCGCCGTTCTATTTCACTCAAAGCCGCGCAGTTGTGGAATTTGTCGAGTGCGAAACACAAACATCGGCTAGATTAGCTCCGAAATGTATGCTCACGCGTTTACTGGCGACAGGTCACAAGGTCATAACGAGATAAGGCGTGTCATCTTCTTGATCGTGGAGTGACTAGACGGTTTGCGATCGCAACATGCGTGGGAAAGAAAACAAATGCCTACCAACTTTTGAATGATAATACGAACCGGTACTTTCGGGAAACTAATGATTTGAGGATAAATTAAGCGTGGGTATACCTACCGGTGCTGGGGAGGGGGCGCGACAATGTGAGAAGTGCGGAATAGGAATAGGAAGGGAACCAATCATGGAATAGGAAGGGAACCAAGGTTGAACTAGCAGTGGAAAAGACACGATACTCGACTAGAAAATTGTTTGGGGGACAAATTATCTACCTCATTCAGGAAGACACCGGGAAGTCCCCGAGCAGCCCCAAATTCCATCAACCTTGACCGTGGCCGCCGCGCAGTCGTGCGTTATTTGCCCTGCCAAAAACGATGGCGAAATGCGTATTTGAACACGCGTGGTATGGTGGTGGGGCTCACGCTTATATCCTGTTCGACATGGGCCTCTAACAACTGCGTGTTTGAAAGCGAAATGCAGAAGTAAAGGCGTGAAAGGGTGTGACAAGGTGACCCTGAAATTCCAGCCGGATCACGTTCGATTTTTTCCTCGCCGTGGCCTTGCAGTTGTGTCGATTGTATTGATTCTGCCATAACACAAGTGTTTGTTCAATGCTTGTGACGTGATATTACAATGACAGTCATGCCCGTGAAACATAAGCTGCATAATAAAACGCCGGGTTATGATTCGCACTATTGTAGCCCCGGTACTGTGGGTCTTCAGGGTGAAGTCCCAGAGGTATTCCTGACTATGTAGGAGGACTGAGGGCTGGGCAATGACTGGGCCGGCTGGTGCCTTCGCCAGGGTATTGTTAGTCAGCTCCTCCCACTCGAAAGCCGTGACAAGGAAATCAATAAATAAAAATATGCCTAAGTGAACTGAGACATACGATTGGACCATTTTCTTTCCTCTTTTCTCCGTGAGAATTAATGTTCTTTTTTCATTTCCTGGCAGAATACGAGGAGCTCGGTGTGATTCTCCGCCAGCCGGTGCACGCTCCATTCACGTTTCCCCGTCCTCCGTTCACAGTCCCCTCCTCCGTTCACAGTCACAGTCACGGCAGCTCCGTTCACAGTCCCCTCCTCCGTTCACATCCCCTCTTCCGTTCACAGTCCGATGATGAACATCAAGTCGGCGCGCACCACCTCGCGCACCCAGCTGAAGCAGCAGCTGATGCGGCAGCAGGCCGAGGAGCAGGAGGCCCGAGAGCGGCAGCGGCACCTGCTGGAGCTGCAGCGACAGCAGCAGCAGTCGCAGCCGCTGCCCACCCCGCAGACCGCCGCGCCGCCGCGGCTCCACAGCGTCGATGTGCCCAACAAGGTGCTTCAGGTGGGTCCTGTACATACGTGCGCAGGGGTGAGCGGATGTCGGTTTGGTATGTGATGAAGTTGTAATGCATGATGCCTGAACCCATTTCTCGCTGAGCTTTTGACCTTCGCCTCGTCCAGATAATCAACACCTTGAATGAGGTAAAGCCTTGTGTCAAACACGTTAAATGAACGTAATTTGAATAAGTAAAAACAAAGTAAAAAATCTGACATTTCTCATTTTCAAACAGCTTTAAGAGTGTTGAAATAATTTCAAAGAATGTTCGGGAAGGAATGGTACCTATAGCTTAAAATAACGGATGTGTGTTTTTTTTTGCGGGCAACTCTGTTTTAGGATCTCCTTAATTTGATATTCCGTTTAGAATAAGTCATCCACGCGAACTATTTTATTCTGCATTAGCAAAGGAAAGACCCCTGATAAATATATATTTTAATATATTCCTGCCCGGGGCCGGGATGATTCAATAAATGTCACCGAGGTTTTTTAGCGAAAACTCCGAGGGCCGTTAGGCCCGAGGTGCTTTTCGCTAAAAAAGCGAGGTGACATTTATTGAATTCTCGGCCTTAGGGCTGGAAGGTGTTTCCCATACCTGCCAAAAAGCTCACAACTATAATTGATAGTGACGTCAGCAGCCGTGTGGTTCAACGCGTTTAACCACACCCCTTGAACCACACGGCTGGCAATATTAAAGCACTGCATTAAACTTTGAAAAGTGTGGTACAGTGCACGTGCCAATAAAATGCCTGGATGTCTCGATTTAATCATGCAATGTAGCAGGTATGGGAAAAACAAAAAATCACTTTCCAGGACTGTGTCACTGCGGAGGCGGACATTTGTAGGTTCCTGTTTTTGACAGTTCTACGAATGAATTTTAACAATGTTTCCTGTCTCGGTATCTTGCAAATCATGCAATTTAGCTCTCTCACAAAAGATGATGAGGACACAGAGTTGAGGTGTCTAAAGATGCATGTAATCATTGTATGTTGACATGTGAGGTAAGTACGCACCCATCGTCATCTTACGCTACAAGCAGGTGGGCTTGTCCACTTCACTCCCCCTACCGCCATGTGCGACGTAGAAGGGGGAGTATTTGCCTACGCTCCGCATTATCCATTCCCTCTGCTCTTCAGCATTGTAGTAAGGCGTAGTGCGAGTTGAGTATATATAGATTGACAATTGTTGATAAGCGTTTAGGAAGGCCTTTAAATTAAATATTCATTTGCTTTAAATTAAGAATAGAATTTATTCTTAATTTAAAGCAAATGAATATTTAATTTAAAGGCCTTCCTAAACGCTTATCAACAACAGTACACTGAAAACAATTTCACCCGAAGCTGGCGAATTAAGCGTTGCTCTGCGGGTGGTACATGTGTATTAACTCGCCATGTCCAGATTCTAGCTAGAGGGTAAGCAGACTTGCCTGCCTTATTACTCGTAAATATACACTGTACCCACAGTCTGCAGTAAGGTAGCTACCCAGCACCGGATATTGTCCCCGCGGGTGTCGAGTCATTGGCACAGCCCTCACTGAAAGAGTTGGAACTACTCGAGGTATCGTAAACGCGTATCCGTGGATGGCGAACCTTTACATAACCTGCCCTGAAGGGGTTGGATCTACTGTTACAACTAGATGGCGTTGTCTCATACAGTTTTGAATTACAACAATTTTTTAACTTTTTTTTGAACCAATGATATGTTGGCACATTGTTTGGCGGTTTTCAAGTGGGGGCGAAAGTACAATTGTTAGGGTGCATCTTTAAAACCTCTGCAATATTCATCACGGGACGATTGGCAACGCTTTTTCTTCCGAAACTACCAAGTGAGACCATTTTGATTCTTATAAAGGTCACGAAAGCAGCGGCGACACATCTCCTTGATTTCGGGCGGTCTGCATGACTGCCGGTGACTGAGTCATGTCGAAATTTCTATGGGAATTCGATGTGACCTTTCCCACCGATGTGAAACTTTCTCACCGATGTTTTCTAGGTGTGAGATTGCTATAATATAGATATTTTCCCGCAAATATGGTCAAGCGTGGGAGTTTTTTTGGCCCTCGTGACTTGGTCGGCGAAGGGTATAGGCGTGGAGGTTAACCCTATCTCCTAGGGGTTTGTGGGGCGCTGCTGCCAGGTAGGCGTCGATGAATACCTTTCGATGGAGGGGTCGCGAGCCACTGGTGCGCGAATAGTCGTGGAGGGTTACTACTCTCCAGAGTGAATTGCGAAAGTGTTATGTCCTAAATTGACTCCTGGGAGGGTGGTTAAAAATGGTTGCGGATAGGGGTACCCGTAAAACACCGGTTTACTCGCCAGCCTTGGGTTAAATTGTTTTCAGTGTAGTGCGAGTTGTACGCACCGTGTCACCCACCCCCAGTGACATTGTTGTACGGCGTAAGGGAAGGAATATACGCACCGCACACGACCACCTAACTGTTTTCAGCCGTGAATGCGTGAGTGTTCCATGTACTGTCCGTGTCGCTGTTGTCTATCGCTGATCGCAGAGACAACGCTGACTTAAACAGGTGGGTGAGGCGAGGGGAGAACACGTTCGTCCCGAGTGATGCAAACCAGTACCTGGTACCACTCACAGCGGCCGCCTTCTGGCTTGGTAACCAGGGAACCAACCCTCCCGGGCACGTGCTTGTTCCCGAGCTTGTTCAAAAAACCCCAACCGACCGCAGTGGCGCTGCTGCTGGCAAAGGGCTCAGATATGTCAATCAGGATGATAAAATTTATTTGCACACCCTGTGGACAGCATTTTTGCGGTACACTGTTTTCTATTTTTGACGGAATGGATTAGTGTTTATGCGATGTTAACGTGCAAAAAGATAAACGCATAGGCGTGAGCATAGATGATTTCGTCGGTATAATTACCTCGCAAAAAATCGCGTCATATTTTTGCTATGGGTGGTTAATTTATTTTCACACTCAAGTCTAGTATGTATTGTCAACATTAATGCGAAATATGGATAACATATCACAAATTTATCTCAAATAAATGCCAGCTGCAGTCTGCACTGTCCTTGTAGCTCACTCGGCCGTATTTTTCGGGAACGGACCTGGATGTCGCTCTGCCATGCTCAGCTGCTGCTCCCCCAGGCTGCAGAGGGCGCTGCGGCTACTTTCCCGGGTCCCGTGCTTGGACACGCGTTGAGCTCGTGTCGGAGGCGTGCTCGTCTCATACCTGGAGCGTGCTGAATTCTTACTGGCAACTGCCACTCTCGTGGTAACTCTGCTTGAAGTGCGGGAGGGAGGAGATAAGACTGGAGGTTAATGGCTGGAGCTCGTTTCAAAATGTGTGATGACACAAGCTGCATACCTTTGCTAAATAAGTGGTCCCAATGCGGATACGGTCCAGGGTGGACGAATAGGCAATTAGCTACCAGAGACAATGGTCAAAGTTCAGGGATGGGCAATAAAATATCCGTCTAAAATATAGTAATTTGTCTCTTCTGTTCTCAGCTACCCATCCCCGATCTTCCTCAGACCATAATTAGCAAAAGATCTTTGGCCAGTGAGTGGTGAGCTGCGACGGCTGACCTGTGACCTTTGACCTATGACCTGTGATATGTAACCTCTGACCTATGACCTGCGAACTGGGACCTCTGACATGTAACCTGTGACCTGTTACCTGTGACCTGTGAACTGGGACCTCTAACCTGTAACCTGTGTCCTCTGTCCTGTGAGCTATGGCCTATAACATCTGACCTGTGACCTCTGACCAATGACCTCTGAACTTTGGCCTGTGATTTGTAACATGTGATCTGCGATCTGTTACCTGTGATCTGTTACCCGTTACCCGTTACCCGTGACCTGTGACCTGTAGCATTTGACCTGTGACCTGTGACCTCTGGCCTGTGACCTCTGGCCTGTGACCTGTGACCTGTAGCCTGTGACCTGTAACATCTGACCTGTAACCTGCGACCTCTGACCTCTGACCTGTCCGCCTCAGGTGGAGACGCGGCTGCAGCACCCGACGCCGTACCATATGCTGCAGAACCAGAAGCGTCAGGTGCGGGAGTACCTGTCTAACTCCGGGGAGCCGTCGCCGACGGAGCCGGCGCAGATCATGTCTCCTCCGTCCAACCAGACGAGCACCACCTCCGAGGCGACTGAGGTGAGTACCGGGTGCCTGAGCGGCCCGCTCCGCCACCAGAGCGGCACTGCTAGCCACCAGAGCTGACCTGCTAGCCACCAGAGCGGCCCTGCTAACCGCAGGAGCGATCCTGTTAGCTGCAGGAGCGACCCTGCGCCCTACAGACCGCAGGAGTGGCCCTGTGTTCTGCTGACCGCAGGAGCTAGGAGTAGCCCCGTGCGCTGCTGGAGCAGCCCTGCGCGCTACCCCTGCGCGATACCGAACACCGGGGCACCCATTGTGCTCTTGTCTCCCACAAGAGTGGGTGGCCGTGCGCGCTGTCCCTGCGCGCTGCTGGCGAGTAGAGTCGGCTCTGCGCGATGTCGACTACCGCAGGGCTCCTGATGATGATTTGACGTAAGGAGAGCAGCACAACGATGCAGTCAGATGACGCGCTAACACACAGTATAGTATGTCACAGTTTGGATACTAGAAAACCTTTACTGATACTCCGAAACGACAAAGGGCACTGCTGTCATTTTGAATGATTCGACAGTTATGTGATTTGATCATTATGTGCGTGACCGCACCGATGCATACCATATTTGTGTATGACGAGATCAAAACCTTGTCCGCCACAGAATCAATTGCAAAACAGAACACAATAATCGATTTCTGCATTCTTAGTGTGGATTTGATCTAAATGTAGGCATTTGAAATAATAGAAATCGTTCAGTGATCCATTACCTTTGCAGGCATTGCAAGTATTGCATGCTTATCCCTGTGACCCTTCAAATCATCGGTGACAGCTCGGCAACGCTTGCTCAGTGCTCACTCGCGCCGTGCGCTGCATCTATCAAACGGCACTGCCATCTGCGGATTGATTTATACGGGACTTGGCTACAAGCGGGGTTTTATGTCAGGCGTCACTTTATGTCACTGTGTGTCGAGCAGGGACGCCATTTCCATACTGCGCTCCAACCGTCGCCACCCGCCATTTTGGCGGCCCTGGACTGCCCTTGAGCCACCGCTGTTCCCCATAGACGGCCACCCGCAAAACCGCAACACATTGCAGACCGCTCGGGCACCAAATCCACATGCAAAGCGGCGTCAGAGCGTTACTCCTGCTTGCCATGAAGCCGCGCGTCCTTGCCCATCTTTCGGCAGTGGTCTCGCAGAGCTCAGCTGTTCTCACACAGGTGGTGCGTGGGCGCGTGTGCAAACTGTGCTCCTAGTAACAAGTGTGCAACTGTGCGTGCTGGATAGACTATCGGTCAGCCGATCGGACAGTGCAGCCGGAGGGGCCGGAGGGCTGCGGCGCTCTCCACTTCTGTTCTCCGAACACAGGACGGCGGAGGCGAGCGGGTGCAGCTCCGAGAGCGACGCTGTGCGAATGGAAAGTAGGCGAGGGAGGAGGCTGCAAGACTAGCTGCCGGAGACAGGGTGATGTGTGGGAGGACGGCAGCGGGGAGGAGAAAGGAGTGGATGATTTTATGGCCGCCGCTAAATCGGGAAACGTGGCACTGTTCGGAGCTAAAACGGCGTCCGCATTTGGCTTTTGTTTCGCAAGGCTGTTCGGTCTGTCGGAATCTGAACAAGGTGACTGTTCTCTGGGCATCATCTGCGAGAATCAAGATGAAATCAACGAACATGTTCGGGGGAAGAAGGACGGGACTCTCTGTTGCTAAGGTACCACTGTAGGCAGTAGGCAACAGTGCAATATATGTAATATGTAATATATGCACGGGAATAACACACATGACATTTTGCATTTGCAGGAACATGCGATATCATGTCACATACAATTCACAAGGGGCTGACATCGAAACCTTTTGGAAAGCACAACGGCCTCAAGGTAGTGGCCCGTTTTCATGCAGCGTGGGTGTTTGAATAACTTGCGGATATGATTTGATATTTTAAAGCCGGAGCACAAATACAAAGTGAAGCATTGATCACATGTGCTTGGGTATGCAGTAGGAGCTCGATTGCCAAGTGTTCGTTGCGCTTTCAATCGTTGCTTTCTACGAAATGAATTGCAGTTGACATTCGGAATAAGCGGCAACGTTGTGTTAATCGATCACAGCATTCATTTCAAGCTACGTATAGTTACATATAGCTAGCACAGTGATTGCTCCATTATTCTAGTTGCAGTCCTTTGAGCCCTAGCCCTCACGAGCTTATGCTCCCGTTCCTAGATGGCGATAGTGGTAAACGCCTGAACTTAGACTGTCCCGCCGAGCACGTAGCCGCTGACGGCCGGCGTATAATGAACGAAAACCGGACCCGCCACCGACCCCGTGGCGCCATATAAAGCAGCCCGCATCGAAACCATTCTGTCCCGTGACTCGCGCCGTTGAATTCATCTCTCCTGCGTCATTGCCGTCCATGGGATGTCGAGGACACGTTTCATATATTTCGTAACGCCTTCATTAGGCCTAATTCTTTATATTTCCTCGAATGACGAAGCCTTTCTTAAAAGCGTCCTTACAGCACTGCGAATCTTGAATGATGCAAAAAAATGTACACAAATGTGTTTCAATGCAAATACTTTCTTAAAATGGTATAAGTCGTGACAACTTTCCTGGATCAACATTGACAAGTCAGGAAAATAAATACAGCAATGAGCTTTCATAAATCGTTAAACTAAAAACGTCATAAAATCGTTAGTCGTAAATCGTTGGTCCTTAAACTGCAAGGTCAGATTTACTTTTTATCAGATTTATTTGTTTAATCAGATTTACAAAACTTACCCGAGTTTTCGTTTTATGAGCTTCCTCAGTGGCAGCTCCATAAAAACTTCACTTCAAGATGTTTAAAGGTAGTGTGCCAGCTTTCCTGGACCGTATGGAGTTAATGGCCCAGATAAGGAGAACCGGATTTTTAGAACTTATCCGTACCTTCAAAACTCATGGAAACGTCTTAAATTCTTCAAATTTTGAGTACCCCAGTGCGAAATTCGCCCCGACGGGTTGTCGGTCGTACCCCAACCACATTTCACACCACTATGAGCAATAAATGCACACACTGAAATCGCTATTACCGATAGGCTCATCCAATCAAGTTTCGATAATCCCGTTCATCATCATCTCCTGCGGTTTCGAACACGCCTGTTAGGTGGTGCGGTAGACCGCGCCCAAAGCCAGGGCCCCGGTAACGTGAGGTAGCCGAGTCGGGGCAGCGTGCGCTGACCCAAGCCGGGCCGAGCGTCCTCCCGGTGTCATGTGATTGCCCGGGGCTGCCCGCGGGGATGCGGTAGACCGCGCCCAAAGCCGCGGCCCCGGCTTGGGTCAGCGCACGCTGCCCCGACTCGGCTACCTCGCGTTACCGGGGCCCTGGCTTTGGGCGCGGCTTCTGCTCATACTTTGTGGTGCTGTGGTGGTGCGTCGGGCCGCGCGCTCTGACTTCGGCCAAGAAAAATGCGTCAGCTGATCATTGTCATGTCTGCCACTTTCATGTGGTGAGATGGGGACGGACTTTAGAGACGGCTGTTTCATATCAATTATTTTACATAAAATAATATTTCAAACCATAAATTAATGTTTTTTTTATAAATTTTGTCCGAACCTTTTGATGGGAAGGATTCACAAGGACAGAGCCACCGCTAAGCGAAGCTTGTTGCGATGACCCTGCCCTCTACCCTCCGATCGCGCAATTCCGATTCTATGGCAGAATTTAGAGTCCAAAGTTTAACGTGCGCACAAAGCCGCGCACGGCCGGTCCCCTCGCTGACTTCGCCTGGCTACGGCCTGCCACCAACCGCAACCATACCTGTCAGGAGGCCCATAAATGTCGAGCGCCCGTCGCGCTTCGAACCCGGACTGTTACAACCGGGAACGCGTGCTCTCACCACGCGGAGTCCAACGCTCTAACCAACTGAGCTACGGGACCGGCAAATGTTTGACAGCCAAATTAAAGAAACAATACCAATACAGGCTTACAGTTTAAATTCGACATTGTGTTGTCTACGATTAGACAGCTGATAACTCATTCCCGTACGTCGTAACTCTATAATAACCTTTGCTTATTGTCACATGTGCGCCGCATTCGTGATTGTTGCCGACGCCTGTTTGCCGGTCAGCCCACTACAATTGTTATACATATCGAAAAACCGATAAACTTTTAGGCGAAAAAAGCACTATTTTAGGCCCATTTTTGATTTTTTTGCGATATTAGGTAAAAACAGAAGCTTCTTATCCTAGGAAAAATAAAATGGGAAATCATTCAAAGGTGGCACACTACCTTTAAGCAGGTCCCGATTTTCCCGACATTTAGGTCATTGCCTTACCTGGAGAAGTTCAACCGACGATCTAATACTGCTAATACCATAGACTTTGGCATCATGAACTTCTTCATGTCCTGGGAACAGTGCATCACGCTCTTTTTTCCACGAAGCTCCTCGATCAGGAGCCGAACGGCTGGGGGTCTGCCCCCACTCCTCCTATGCGTTGGTGGCTGTAGAAACACCAACACGGGTGAGGTATAATGATCGAGATGATAAGTTCATAGTGACTATTATTTTCCTGCTTTTCCACTGATATCCGACTTATATTATGAACCTTTTGCAGTCGTCATTGAGGCAGGGCACATTTCACATGCATGCTTCACATCCAACTGACACGAGAGACATTGCCAATCGCATGCGTCTCCCATGAGTCAATGCATGTTTCCCTGTCAATCACTTCATCAAGCACAGGTATGTAGGGGAAGTTGGGGCAATGCCGGAGTTGGTGCAAAGCCGAAATTCGAGATATTTCTAAAACCGTACGACATGGATGCCACGTCTCAGTGATGCTCTGAAGCTTAAGTGACTACAATTATCGCATGTTTGTTACGAGTTGTCATTTGGAATACTTCGGCTGTGAGGGCGCCAAAAGCGTTTTCAAGGTACGTTTCCCCTGTACTACATGTGCCTTTGAAGCTGCATTTCTTACTCATTATGCTACCGTTTGTCTGGCCAATTCGGTCAAGTAATCTTCAGCATGTCTTTGCATAAGTGTGCTGCCTATTTGAAATTTATACAGCACGTTTAAAAGTTATGGGCC